GCAGCAGAGGGTGGGGCTGGTAGGAACTCATAAGGTTTAAACTACAAAATAATGTATTTTTTAATTCAGGCCTCATTTTCTAATATAAAACCATTAAACTCATAGTTCCAATAATGATAACTCATAAAATAAATGTCTTATGACATTCTATTTTTAAAATGACATACTCAGTAGTAAATCACTGTGGCAAAGTAGCAAGTATATTCAAATAAAAGGCACTATGTTCGGTCTTTGCGTACTAACTGAAGACCCAAAGCAGTGAAATGTTTTCTATAAAATCACAAACCTTTACTAGCTTTGTCTAAATGTTCCAAATCATCCACAAAAGTCAGGATATCAGGGTACTTCTCTTCACACATTTCCACCAGAAAATGAAGTAGTGTTGTTTTCTGATCTGCGGATTTCGTGTCCTTTAGCTAAATAGGATGAGAGGGAGAAAAAAACAGTAAAAAATATTTTGATATTCTGCCTATTTATATTACATTAATACTACATTTTATAGGTAAAAGCTAAGTCAATTGTAAAATTAGTTAATCCTGTTTTTGAATTGCAAAGGTTTAAATACTTGAAAGCTACATTTTATGAATTGGTTTAAGTAACGTCATTAACGTTTGTTGGAAAGAAAGTATAAGTTTAATCTATTATGCAATTTATTATGCAGCAAATGTATGATAAATACTTAGGACAGCAGTGTAACCTGAAAGTCTATATAATAGTAGTACTTAAAACAACCCCAGGCGTTAGTTTCTTTGTTTTAATTTGGCACATATTTATGGAATGCCTACTAGATACTGCAGGAGTTGGAGATACAAAGATACAATAACAAAAAAGACACAGAGTTCCTCAAGAAGCTGTTTACTAGGGGGGAGTGGGGGGGTGGAATACATACATACCTACATACACACACACACACACACACACACACACACACACACACACACATTTACCCTGGTGTGACAAAGAGTACACTAAGAATAATCACAAAGTATGCCTAAGAGGACAGGACATCTGAACTGAACACTGGTAGACAGGAAGCTGTATGGGATTAGGAAGGGAGGAAGAAAATTCAAAAGTGCAGCATCACAAGCAGATGGAACAGCATTTTAAAAAGGCCATAGATGAAGAAGAAAATGACACATTTGAGGAGTCTGAATGACTCCAAAATAAAAGTGTGTGTTGAGGAGGATGATAGCGTACAAAGATATAAATCTGGGAAGATCAGAAAAGACCAGAAAACAGGAGGAAATGTATGCCATGCAAAGGAAAGAAGATTTTGATCCTTAAGAATCGGGGGGGGGGGGTATTTTTTAATTAATTAACTTATTTTTAATCTTTATTTAATTTTGAGAGAGAGCACAAGCACAAGAGGGGAGGGGCAGAGAGAAAAGAAGACAGAATCTGAAGCAGGCTCCAGGCTCCTAGCTGTCAGCACGGAGCCTGATGCAGGGCTCCAACCCACGAACCATGAGATCAATTTGGAACCTGAGCTGAATTTGGATGCTTAACCAACTGAGCCACCCAGGCGCCCCAGAATTGGAAGTTTTTAAATTGGGTAAGAGATGACCAGACCTGCAGTTAGAAAGTTCCCTCTAGTGCAGTGTGGATGAAAGACGAAAAGCAAAGGTAAGAACAGAAGCAGGATGAATAACTTTAAAATGCTGTAACAATAATTCAGTCAGGGAAAGAAGGCCTGAGCAGAGGCAGTGCCTTGGGGATGGAGATAACAGGATGGAGGGGGCATGGAAACCCAGGCGGTGCCATTAACTGGAATAAGTGGAAAGACAGACAAACAAATTTAGGTGGGGTGGGCAAAGAGAGACCAGTTTCAGTTTTGGCCAGGTTGAGTTTAAAGCTTTTAAGTGACATCCAAGTAAAAATGCCCAACAAGGATGTAGACTGATACAGGTGTAAAACAATGCTTCTCAACCTTTTTTTGTCGTTCATTATTGCTGGCTAAGGAGCATCTTTAGGCATTTTTTCTTAATTGCGTGCACTTACGAAATTTTTAAATCATCGGTATACTGGGTAACTGTTTATGTACTGCATGTACATCTATGCTTTGCACATAAAAACAGCAAGATACTTTTGCTCCCAAAGAACCAATTTTCTCTCCCTCGAGGGTGGGTAAACTCTTGAGCATGTCTGACTAGAACTCAGAGGAACATACTGGACTAGGTCACCAGTTTGTGAGCCCTCAGCCCCCAAAGCTAAACAGTTGATCAAATGAATGCAAACCAGTACACAGAATGAAAGGAAGCTGGACAGAGGCTTGAAGAGAAGACTAGAGTAGACAATTCTAATCTGAAATGGCCAAGGCATGCAACCAGAAGGGAGAAGTAATGATGCGAAAAACATAAAAAATAAATGGAAGCCAGCTCAGGTTTTGTGTAGTAACTGGGGATGGGGGTGTTGAGGGTGAATAGAAAACAAACATGTCATCTGGTGGTGTTCCCTATAATTGAGTAATTATTCAGAGCAGATACATACGAAAGGGGGAAAGTCATTTCTTTTGTACAAAGAGTTCATTTGGAGCTGGAAATTCTTGGTATACCTAGTTGTGGACAGCCCTGTTTCCTTGCTTCCTTTCCAACAGTTCAAATGGGGGTGGGTGTGTATGTAATTTTTTTAAAACTCTACATCACTAAATTTCATATCATTATCAGACAAGTATCAAACAACTGTTAATATCTGATAGTGGAATTAGGAGAGATAAACTCTACCATCACAAATGTTCAAACACATTACTTATTAGTACAAAAATATCTTATTCCTGGAAATACAGAGCTACCCTCCCACACAACCTGAGTTTCATGATTACTCATGTGATAGATTTAAATGCTACACTGGCCTTTCAACACGCAAATCAAAAGTATGATTCCTTAAGTATGGCACCTTAAAAACTGACTGATAGGACACAATCCATTATTTGATACCTTTTTTAAAAGGAACATAAACCACAACATCCATCTGAGTGTTTCAAAAAGCATACCTCAAAAAAGGACTTGGCTAACTAGCTAGATTAATTGCCACTAACACGTGTGGATGACCTGGTAATGCTAAACAGTGCCTTTAACTAGTTACATGGTCACTGGTAAGTTACTAGAGTTCAGTTTTCACACAGATAAAATAAGAATATGGGACTGGACAGAAAAAAGAGACTCCAAATTCGCTTTCCACTCCAAAAATATTAAGTATACATTATAGCAGACTCAAGTGTTGATAGACATAACGAAATCTAATTTTAAAAATACTAAAATAGGGGCGCCTGGGTGGCTCAGTCGGTTAAGCATCCGACTCTTGATTTCGACGCAGGTCATGATCTCATGGTTCCTAAGATTGAGCCCTCTGTTGGGCTCTATGCTGACACTGTGCAGAGCCTGCTTGGGATTCTCTCTCTTCTTCCGTCTCTGCCCTTCTCCCCCCTCGTTCTTTCTCTCTCAAAATAAATAAACTTAAAAAAAAATACTAGAATAAAAATGAATTAAAGTAGTTGTAATCTCAGTTCACAAGTTATTTTTGCATGCTAACGGCCGTTAGAATCTTTCAGTTTGTTTTCACATATACTGAGAATGCCAATCGGATTTATTAAATTACCTTTCAATCCGTAATTTCCTTCACACTATCATGGTTAATGGATAAGGCCAGAGTAAAAGTAGCAAAGTTTCATAAATAATTTTTCTCTTGTACAACCAAGACTTAGCATAAAAGCTGTCTTTTGTTTTTATTTTTTAAAACACCTTAAAAATAAACTCTTCTCTCCCCCTCCCCCCCGGCAGCAATGACTGCCTTGGGAATAGCATCCCTTCTGTGGACTCTCAGCTCCCCACTGCTGCCGGTTACACCCCTCCCCTTCAACCATGTCCCTTTCCTGTGAAACTAGATACACGGCCTGTGTAGAATGTTGATTAGCACAAGCACCATCTACCTCTGTAATTTGCAAAGCCCTCAAAGAGCTTTCCAGTAAGTACTATGTATGATGCAACTAAATAGCGAGCCACCGCTAGGATTAAATGTATGAAGAAATCTCTGTGATCTAACAACAACCAATGAGATCAATCTCGATCTTTATTCATGAGCAATAAAAATTCAGAATTAGAATTCTAGAATATAGTTTATAGCATCTACCAGTTTAGTAAATGTTAAGTATACAAGTCAAACAAAAATTCGAGTTGTTCAGAGACCATCACAGAGCTAGACAGTAATTTATGGGGCAGAGTGTTATTCTGGCTATATTACTGAAAACATCAACTGCTTAGCAGGTAGCGTATTGGCAACAGTCTAATATTCAAAAGTATGTCCACTGAATAGTAAATGGAAGCAAAATTCTCCCATCCTTTTAGAATCTGTATTTAACATTCGTAAGACCAAAAAAATAAAATAAAATTCCCAAGTAAATAAATTTGAAATTAAACCTAATAAATGATAAGTTTAGATAAGAAACAAGGATGGCAACTGTTTGTTGATAACATATGGTGTCTCATTTACAAACTGCTATGTGGCTTTAAATTCCAGGGTAGAGAATCTTCATTCAGGTCCTAACATTCTCAGGAAAAAGTACACAAAGTTATTCTTCCTGCATCAATTACTCTACTCCCTCCTCTACTTCTCCCCCATGTCACTTTATAAAAAAGGATAAAAAAGGGCACCTCCCAGAAGCATAAATGCGCAAAATATTTATCAAAGTCTTTTTACAAACTTGCTCAATTTTTTTTTCACTTTTTGATAAACATGAACAAAAGGGGCACATTTTATTTCCACTAATTACTCCTATCCTATATAATCAGCAACTGAATTAGAAGAATAAGGAAAGCTGGGGGGATGGTGCTAATTTTGTTGGAGAGAAAGAACAGTTCACTTGAGCACACTTTGTAACGCTAACTCTTGGAGAGAAAATGAAGCTAAAATATTTGCTTTAAAAATTCATTTAGGTTTAAAAACTATGCTTTATTTAAATTTTAACAGACATTGCTTGACAGGCTTCCTTTTGTTTTATTGCCAAGAGATGTATCTTGCTGATGAGTAATCATCACTGTTAAGTAGAATTTCTTATTTGTATATTGTTTCTTTGAGGTACATTTAATGCAGCATGGATGTCAAATAAACACAAAGATGGATGGAGTTTCTTCAACTGCTCTGTTCATTTCAGACAAAATAACGTTAAAAGAAGATCCTGTAATAAATCATGGCCTACTTGTCACTCTGGAGTAGAATTCCTTTGTAGCTATAATGCAGTGTTTTGGAATATTTTTAAGCCATTCAGCACAAATTCGGATGATATTTAAAGAATATTCCATTGTTTTAATCACAAGAAAAATTCCTAAAATAAAAACTGAGTATCCTTTTGGTGATCCTCAGAATCCAAAGGTCCCACACTCTTTGACTAATGATACTTAAATCATAAGAGTATTGCCAAATC